GCAAAGATAGATGCTGAGAGTTTCTATATATCCCATACCAAGTTTCCCTTGTTAGTAACAGCTTATGTTAGCATGGTACAGTTATCAAAATTAATGACCCAGCAGTGATGTATTATTAACCAGCATCCATACTTTATTCACATTTCCTTAGTTTTCACCTGCTGTCCTTTTTCTGTTCGAAGGACATTAGACTAAAACGAAGGGCCCCCGTCTAGGATACTGCATTGCGTTTAGCATCATGGTTTCGTAGGCTCTTGCCTGTTTCTCAGACTTCCCTTGTTTTTGATGACCCTGACAGTTTTGAGGAATAGTGGCCAGGTATTTTATAGCATGTCTGTCAGTTGGGATTTGTCTGATATTTTTCTCAGTATTATATTGGGAATGTGGATTTTGGGGAAGAAAACCGCAGAAGTAAAATGTCATTCCCATCACACCCTGCATCCTCTCACCGTGATGTTAACTGATCAGTGTTGAGGCGGTTTGTCAGGTTTCTCCACTGTAAAGTTACTCTGTTTTCCTCTTTTCCTACTCTGCTGTCTGAGAGGAAGTCCCTGCGCACTGCCCACGTTTCACAGGTGGGAGTTACGCTTCACGTTCTCTAGGGCAAAGGAGCTACATAAATTATTTGGAATTCCGCCAGGAGATCTATTCTACCTTATTATTTATATATTTAATCATTTATATTGGTATGAACTCGGGTATTTACTTCTACTTTGGGTTATACCACTTTATTTCATTGCCTAAATTGTTTTTGCTATTGCCATTGTGAGCTCTTTCAGTTGGTTCCATCTGTTCCTTTGACATACCCCCATCATTATGGAGTTTCGTTGTTGCTTTTGAGGGTGGTTGTGTTTTGGGGTTTTTTTTTTTTTGGAGGCACGTCCTTTCTAACACTACAAAGTGTTCCAGGCTCATCTTGATATTTTCTGTCCTAGTCCTAGAATCGGTCATTTCCTCAAGGAGCCTTGGTTCCTTTTGTATTCATCCTTTTATGCTATTAGAAACCAAGATTTGGACACTAGGTGTGCTTTGTTACTGCGGTCGTGTTCTAGAAGAGAGCAAGGCCCTCTGAGCTGACAAGCAAGAAAATATATGTGTACATACTTGCCCTTGTTCATACTTACATGTAAATACTTATATGTGTAACCATCTCTGTCTAAAACTAACATGTTAAGCTGAACACCTTTATACGGATATCTCGTACTCTAATCCATTACCACATGGGTCATTCTAGCCTTGCTTCTCTGTAACCTTCTCCAACAGTTAGAAACTTGGCTTCCACCGTCCATTTACTTCATTGCTTCATTCTAGTATACAGTCATGCACTGCATAACAACTTTTCTGTCAGCACCGACTGCATATATGACAACGCTCCCCCATAAGTGGTCCCGTAAGGTTGTAATGGAGCCGACAATACTCGGTAACGTCATAGCACAACTCATTCCTCACGTGTTTGTGGTGATTCTGGTGTAAACGAACCTGCCATGCTGCCAGCCCTATAGCAGGACAGCGCATACGTTTACACAGTACGTGATACTTGATGATAAAGGGCTGTTTGGTTGATGCATTTACTGCACTCTGCTCTTTGCCCTTATTTTAGAGTGCACTGTATCTACTTATTAAAAGAGAAGTTTGCTGAAAAGCACTGTGCCATGTTATCCCAGCAGCAGCCTCATGCATCTCATATTTGCCGTGTCTTTTTAGAAAAATTGAAATTATTAGGGTGACATCGGTTAACAAGATGATGTAAGTTTCAGGTGTATAGTTCTATAGCACATCGTCTGTATAGTGCATTGTGTGCTCACCACCCAAGGTCTAGTCTCTTGCGTCCATCTATTTGATTCCCTTTACCCTCTTCAGCCTCACCCACCTCCCTTCTCCCTGCGAACCACCTTACAGTTGCCTGGACCTGAGTTTGTTCGTTTGTTGCTTTCTGTTTTACATCCCACATACAAGTGAAATCATGTGGCTCTTGTCCTTCCATCTGACTTATTTCACTTAGCGTGATACACTCGTCGCAAATGGCACTGTTTCATCCTTTCTACTGTGAATAATGCTGCGGTGAACATAGGGGTACATATATTGTTACGAATAAACGTTTCCAAAGTTTTCAAGTAGGTATCCAGAACAGGGATTCTGGGTCATATGGTAGCTCTGTTAAGTTTTTGAGGCCCCGTACACTGTTTTCCATAGTGGCTGCACCAGTTTACACTCCCACCAGCAGTGTACAAGGGCTCCCTTTCCCCACATCCTCTCCAACCCTTGTTATTTCTTGTCTTATTGATAATAGCCATTCTAACAGGTGTGAAGATGGTATTTCACTGTGGTTTTGATTTGCATTTCCATTATAGTCAGGTAAGTGGAGCATCTTCTCATATCTGTTGGCCATTTGTATGTCTTCCTGGGAAAATGTCTTTTGAGGTCCTCTGCCCGTTTTTTAAATTGGATTTTTTGTTGTTGAGTTGTATAAGTTTTCTTTTATATTTTTGATACTAGCCCTTTATCAGAGGTATTGTTTGCAAATACATTCTCCCATTTGCTTGGTTGCCTCTTGCTTTTGTTGACAGGTTTCTTTTGCTGTACAGAAGCCTTTTAGCTTGATATGTAGGCCTATTCATGCATTTTTGCTTTCACTTCTCTTGTCTTTGGGGTCAAGTTCACAAAAACCTCTCTGAGACCAAGGTCCCTAAGTTTTGTACCTATGTTTTCTTCTATGTATTTTATTGTTTCAGGTCTTACATATGTCTTTACTCCATTTTGAGTTATTTTTAATGTGTGGTGTAAGATAGCAGTATAGTTTCATTATTTTGCATATGGCTTTCCAATTTTCCAAAACTTTATTATTATTGAAGAGGCTTTCCTTTCTCCATGGTATATTTTTGGCTTCTTTGTTGAAAATTAGTTGCCCATATATGTGTGGGTTTATTTCTGGGCGCTCAATTCTGTTCCATTGGTCTGTGTGTCTGTTTTTTGGCCAATACATGCTGTTTTGATTATTGTAGCTTTGTAATATAATTTGAAGTCAAGGAGTGTGATACCTCCGGCTTTGCTCTTTTCTCCCAGGATTGCTTTGGCTCTTCAGGATATTTTGCGGATCCATACAAATTTGATGATTTTTTTTTTTCTATTTCTTTGAAAAATGCTGTTGGGACTTTGGTGGGGTTTGCATTAAATCTGTATATTGCTTTAGGTAGTGTGGGCCATTTTAACTACGAAATTGCCTAGCAATGCATTTCTCAGCATGTATCCCAGTGGTTAAGTGGCCACATGACTGTATAGACAGTGTTTTCAGAACTGTTTACCTATATCTCCTTGGGAAACAACTTTATTAGCTAGAATACAGTGCATATGCCCAGTTCCATTTGCCGTTAGTCTAATAGACCCCAACTATTTCTAGCATTAAGTCAGCACCTTTTCTCCCTATTCTCTTCAGTGAGATTGTTTCATACATTTATAATACAGTTAGTTTTTTTTTTCTCTTATTTTGCATTTCATTCTAGGGTCCCTTGAGCTCTTAAATGATTTTTTAAATTTGCATGCATTAAGGTTCACTGTTAGGTAAAGGCTTATGGGTTTTGACAAAAGCAGTGTTGTGTATTTATCTCTTTAATACCATACAGAATAGTTTTACTACCCTAATAAAATCTGTGCTTCACCTATTCATCCTCACCCTCCCCACCGTTTGAGCCCCTAACAATCACTGATCTATTTATCATCTCTGTAATTTCATGTTTTCCAGGATATGGAATGTCATATAATTGGAAGCTGATTTACTAGTAAAATGCACTTAAAGATATCTTGTGTGGCCCCTCCCTCCCTCTCTCCCTCTCTCCCTCTCTCCCTCTCTCCCTCTCCCCTTTCTCACTTTATCTTTTTGCAAAATAATATTTGATGGTTGTACCACAGTTTGTTCATCCATTCACCTTTTGAGTAGCATCCTGATTGCTTCCAAGTCTTGGCAATTATGAGTAAAGTTGCTATAAACATTTGTGTGCAGGTTTTTGTGTGTGAGTTTTAGTAGTTTCAAGGAATTGGTCCATTTCATCTTAAGTTATATTTGTAGGCGTAGAGCCGTTTGTAGTAATTTCTTTATCATACTTTTAATCCATGTTAACAGTCGTGATGTTCTGTCCTTCATTTCTGATACTGGTAATTTGTGTCTCCCCCTTTTGTAGGAGGTGATGAGTGGGTAGCCTGCCTAGAGGTTTATCAATTTTATTGATCTTTTTAAAGGACCAACTTTTGGTTTCATTGATTTTTTGCTTTTTTCTTCTGTTTTCAGTTTTATAGGTTTCTGTTCTAATTTTTATTATTTATTTTCTTCTGGTAGCCTTAGGCTTAAATTGCTCTTCTTTCTCTGGTTTCCTAAGGTGGAAGCTTAGGTTATGGATTTCAGATCTTTCTTCTTTTCTAATATATACATTTAATGCTGTAAATTTTCCTCTAAGTTCTGCTTTTGCTGCATCCCACAAATTTTGATGTTATATTTTCAGTTCAAAATATTTTAAAATTTCTTTTGAGACTTTAATTTCCAGATACCTGAGGGATTTTTGTTACTGATTTCTAGTTTAATTTCCTTGTGTCTAAGAATATACTTTGTGTGATTTTTAATCTTTTATCTGTTCAAGTATGTTTTATAGCCCAGAATGTGTCTCCATTGGTGAATGTGGGCTAGAGAAGAATGTGTTCTGGTGGTAAAGAGAGGAAGGATAGGAGTTCTGTAACCTCCAACCCACTAAGTCCCAGCCTTTGTCCTTCACAAGGGTCTCCTGGGGTGTGGCTCCTTCCCCCTTGCAGCCTCCTCCCTTTCCTAGCTGCAGAGTTCCCAGTCTTCCTCTACACCTTCACCTTTGTTGATTATCTTTTACCCCTTAGATTTTATCATAGGTAGGCTAGACAGGGCTGGAGTGGGAGGAGTATCCTTTCCCAACCATTTTTATGGAGAAGGTGCTGGGCTTATTTCACAGTGTTTATTCTTTCCCTCCCCTGCCAGATTCACCAGAGGATCTTTCTGGGATTTTTACCTTCACCTTGAGGACCTGGTGGGGTTCCTGGAGGTAAAGCCCATAAAAGTGTGCCTGCCCCCCAAGACTGCATCCCCGGAGTTTCTAACTCTCGTGTGCCTGCCCCCCAAGACTGCATCCCCGGAGTTTCTAACTCTCGTGCCGGTTCACATCTAGCCTCCAGCACCAGTTTATGGCTCCAGCAGCTTTGCTCCAGGTAAGCAGATCTCCGCTGTGTCTCTCCAGGTTTTGGGTAGCAGTTTGCCCTATAACTTCATTTCTTTGATGGGGCTAAAAGTGTTATTAATTTTCAGTTTGTCCAGCTTTTCTTGTTCTAAGGATGGGAGTGGACGTCTAAGCAGAAGTTACCCCCCTTCTTTTTTAATTTTAATTTTTAAAATTTATTTTTAAATTATAGTTGACATACTTTATTATATTTGTTTTAGGTATACAATATAGTGATTAGAAATTCACATACTTTATTTGTGGACAAATTAAGGGGTTCTGTGGAAAGTAACCTCACAGGGTGATCTGGTCATAAATTCCTAATCAGACAGGTGGTGGTGGGTAGTCATGCCCCAGGAATGTAACATCTTTAGTAAAGGGTTTGAAATGCCTCTTTTCAGATCCATTCTTCTAATGCATGAACCACCCTTTCAGACTTAACCATCCTCAAGAGAGCAAACAATTTTAACTATCCTGTAGGCCAATCCCTGCATGCCTTGCTTTCTCCCACTTTCCTGTAATGTTCCTTGTTCCCTCCTTAATTTCAGGTGCATAAAAGAAGCTGCAAAACTGTTATTCTTGGGAGCATTTGAGATCCTGCTCCCGAGCATATGTTGTCAGTTTGGCTCAAATAAACTCCAAAAAATTCTCTGCAGATTTGAATGTCTCTTACGTCCACAGAAGTGATGCCCCCGATAAGTCTAGTACCCATCTGACACCAAACATAGTTATTACTGTATTATTAACTATACTGCCTATGTTATAGCATAGTAAGCACCTAGGAAAATTCCAGGACAAGCAGAACAGGGAAACAAATAGTTAAACAGCAGTTTGTGGCCACCTAGTAAATCCTATCTTCCTTAAACCAAGGACACTTAAGAGTAAATGGATTGTATTTCTCCTCCCCAGCCAGAGGCAAAATAGTTTAAATCACACTGCTCAGGGAGACAGATAATAGAAATCCTATAGTGCCATTTGCCAACCACTCCCAAGGACAGATAAATTAAGAATGCACCTCATCTTGGTGCATCAGCGGAAAGCTGACGAATATTCTATTGATCCTCTCCTAAGGCCTTCCCTAAAGGCCCAGCCTTTAAAACCCCAGAAAATGAAGGTCCCAGCTCGTGTTCCCCTCCCTTCTCCCAGGGGAGCATGCCAGCTCCATCTCTCTTCTTCCATCTAAGAGACCCAATGAGACTTGCGACCCAGGGAGCAATGGGCAGCAGCAGCTCAGTCCCAGGGTGCTCTCCCTGCAGGGAGCACACCCGTGCCATTCCCTTCTCCCACAGGCATGTGTCCCTTAACTCTTAAGGGACTTATGAGACTTGCAACCTGGGGAGCAGTGGTCATCAATAGTTCCTACTGGGCTAACCCCTGAACCTGTCTCCAAGGCCCCCTTCGCCCTCTTTTCTCTCACTTCCCAGGGAGCCAAAGAAGCCCAGCCGAGCTCTCCTGTTGCTTCTTCTATGCCTGTCCTTGTTTCATTGTCCTAAGTATATTTTTGCTGCTGTCAATAAATTCTTTCCTATACTTAATCTCTTGATTGAAATCTTCCCCTAAAGAAGACAAGAACCAAGGTCTTGCCTCCCCCTAACACCTATGCTATACTTTATATCTGCGTGACTGTTGTTACAACTAGCAGTTTGTACATCTTAGTCTCTTTTACGTTTTTCACCAAGATCTCCCCAACCCACCTCCTATCTGGAGACCATCAATTCTCTGTATCTGTTTCTGTTTTGCTTGTTTATTGTTTTTTAGATTCCACATGTAAGTGAAATCCTATGGTATTTGTCCTTCTCTGTCTGACTCACTTCACTTAGCATAATGCCTTCTGGGTCCATCCATGTTGTTGCACATGGCAAGATTTCATTCTTTTTTATGGCTCAGTCGTATTCCATTGTATATATGTGCCACTTATCCATTTGTCTGTCGATGGACACTTAGGTTGCTTCCATATCTTGGCTATTATAAATAATGCTGCAGTGAACATAGCGGTGTGTATATCTTTTCAAATTAGTGTTTTGGATTTCTTAGGATAAATACCCAGAAGTGGAATTGCTAAGTTGTAGATTATGTAGTTCTACTTTTAATTTTGTTGACGTAAGAACGCCCAAACCTTTAGAGAATTTCTGTAATAATTTGAGCCATACAGGATACTCCTGGAAGCAAGATCTCAATGGAGCAAAATGCTTTAAAGAAATGAGTTTGCAGCTTTTATGCATTTGGAATTAAGGAGGGGACATAAGGAAGATTACGTGAAGGTAGGAGAATGCAGGGCAGCGGGGGTTGGATTATAGGACAGTTAAGGTCACTTCCTCAAAGGTGATCACCCGTTAGGTGCACTTTGAGTTGAGTCCCTGTGTGGGCTGGAGGAGAATGAGAGAGAATAGCTCTCCTCATTCTTGGTTCCCACGCGGTTATGTGCTATTCATTTTAGGCGCCTCTGTCAGGAGCTGCAGTCCGCAGGTGGCTGATCAGCAGAGCTTTTGCCGTTTTGGAATTTAAATTTCTTTAGGTGGGGGACATGCCCTGCCCCTTCCTACCACTCTTATGCTTCCTGTCTCTTTCCTCATTTATCCGCTTGGCTTCTGACTTTATTTGATTTTATAAAGACAGATTGCAGTCAGGGCATTTCCTTGAGTGGCACATGGGGTCAGAAATGAGTTATTAAAATATGACATCCCAATAAAGCAGATTAAATATTTATAGTAGATCAAAGACCACATGTCAGGACAGTAAGTCTCTACAAGTTCAAAAAGATTGAAATCATGTCAAGCATCTTCTCAGCTGTAAAAAAGAAGCATCTCTTACCCTTGGAGACAGCATGGTGGGACCTGGAGAGAATTATGCTAAGTGAAATAAGCCAGTCAGAGAAAGACAAGTATCACAGGATCTCACTTATATGTGGAATCTAATGAACAAAATAAACCGATGAACAAAATAGATCCAGAGACATAGAAGCATGGAACAGACTGAGGGATCTCAGGGGGAAGGCACGGGTGAGTGGGTGGGTGGGGAGAGATTAACCTAAGAATTTATATGCATAAATGCATAACCCATGGACACAGACAATAGTGTGGTGAAGGCCTGGAGGGGATCAATGGGGGGGTTAAAAGGGGACATCTATAATACTTTCAACAAGAAAGATAAATCATAATAAATATATACATACAAAAATGTACATATATATAAATGTTTATAGTAGGATATGTGGTTAGAAAGATCTGCAATGTAATGACTCCATGAGGCGAATGTCTATGGTGCAGGCCCTTAGGCGGCCAGGGTCACTTTCTCCTGATGGTCTTCCGCTGGTCCTGACCAGGAGAGCTTCGCCTTTCCACTTGGGCATTTGATCAGGCAGGGCCTCTGCCAGCCCATGTTCGCCGGCCAAGCGGGTGTCCCAGGTTTGCTTGTTTTAGGTGCTCTGTTTTGTTGTCTTCCCTTTTTTTATTATTATTTTTTTAGCATTTAATTAATTTTGTTTCTCCCATCATCACCATGCGTCTTTCTCTGCATTTGAGCTATAAAATAGACATTACACGTGTTTATGTTCTCCTTAGACGTTTTTAGAGGAGCGTCATAAGTATGAGGGGGCTGTCAGAGGGTTATTCCAGGGAGCATGTGATGTCTGGAGCTGGCTCTGAACCTGTCCTCATTTGATAGCCTCTCGCTCGTGATTGTGAAGTACACTGGCGGCAGTGTTTTCTTCCCGTCCTACAGGCGGGCGAGGAATGAGAGAGTGGTGAGTGCCTTCCTGCTGTCAGCGCCTGGTGATTTCTCGGGGTTGGGAAGGGCACGGCTGTAAGTTCATATTTGTGCTCACAGGGCTGTTCAGCCGAGTTTAGATCCAAATGTGTCTCTTTTATGGGAAAAGCTCACAAATGTTTGGCAGTTTGGAATAGAGAGTACGCTGACGAGAAAACAGCTGGAACTATTGAAAGGTAAATACTTATTTAAAGATAGATATTTTAAACTCCATTAATTATCATGAAAATAATTTTGTACTAAAGGGAAATGAAAGCTCTCTTGTTTCGTTAAATAGAATTGTCTCAGTCTTTAGTAAAAACTGTGAACAGTAGAAGGCACACAAATTTCAAACTAGATAGTGGTTCATAGAAAAACAGTTTTTCAAATCGTGTTTTTACATTGTTTGTTCATTGTTCAAATTTTATTCTTAAATTTCAGACAAATTAATGGAATTAAAATATTCCTTTTTGCATGCTAAAATCCGCATTTGCTTCTGAGATTCAACGCCTTAACATACTTAATCCTCTCCAAATTTGTTCTTATATTTTTAAGTTAGGAAGTTTTTTCCTAAGAAATTTTTTACCTTTATTATTAAAGAATACATATGTTTTTTGTAGAAAATGTTTTAAATAAAAGTAGCCAGAAAATTATCCATAATGCCACTAACCTGAGTCTATTAAATTTATTTTTCGGTAAGCGCTGATAGTAGTATAATGTTTTATAGCTAGTATAGAGAAATTAAAAATAAGTAGTAGAAGTTACAGCAAAACATTAATAGTGGTGGGATTTCAGGTGGTTTTTAATTTTTAACTTTTTGCTCATCTGTATTTTCTGATTTTTTAGCATGATAGCAGAGCTTAAAATACAAATCCCCACCTCCTTGCATGGTGTCTGGCATATAAAGCCCCTACTGTGTTCTAGATATTAGCCTTTCCTTTAGGGTTATTTCATGATTTTCAGAAAAATGCTGGATTGTTCAGTACATTTAATAGGGTGTGACTGGAAAATTAATGGAATGATTTAAAATATCATGTATAAAGTGACATCACATAACAGGAATTGTCTCAGTGAACTTGACCTAATTTAACTACTTTATGGAGCATAATTTAGAAGCTGGTGTGGGTTGCAATCTTTGTTAATAGAAGCCAACTGTGAAAAGCATCTCAACATGAGTCTTCCTAGCTCACTCCTGTGCTATAGAGAAATACCCCGCACTCTGGTCTGATAATGATGCTGGGATTTAAACTGATTGGCGCTCATGAGATATTAGACTTCTGTAACGTAGTGTGCCACAGTGCATTTTTGACATAACAGTAGATGCTAACAGTAGCAACACTAAGTTTGGTTTGAGGTATGCCTGTACTATAGGCAAATTGTTTATTAGGAAGTCTCCAGTTTGTGTATCTGGGAAGGATTCTTCTGACACTAGTTGTATCTCTCCATAGTCTGATTTTCCAGCCACAACACTCAGTCTTTCCAGGTCACTCTCTCAGGTAACATAACTTCAACAGTTTTCAGCCATCAGGACCTCTCACCCATCGGCCCATCATATTTTTCATCCTGCCCCATTCTCCCACATCTGTACATTTCTCCTTGCCTGGCTTAGACTTGTGGCCTGTCTTCTAATCAGCATTGCATATATCTCTCCGCACTCTTCTGTACTTCCCTGGCAAAACTCGACTCTCCGTGTACAGGGCATCTGTCCCTGAGCAGCTACCAGACCATGACTAAAGAAAAACAAAACCATACTGCCTTGTTTCCCTGAAAGTCTGTGTGCACAGCTGGTTAGCCTTTTACTCATTTACCTTTTGAAAAATATATTACAATGATATCCAACTGCTGAAGTTTTGGCTTAATTAACTATTCAAGTTTATGATTGAAAGAATTTGTTCACTGGTTGTTTGGTGTTAACCAACCTTTAAACATTCGCTTTGACCCTCCCTCTTGAAGGCTTGGGCATTGAAGTCATAGGCCATTGCCTGTAGACAGAACAGTGGAAGTATGAAGCCAAAAGACCATTGTGCAGATGCTGGATTATTTGTTAGCACAGATTAGATTAAATGTTCAGCTTTTGATTTTTGTTTGGCAGTTTTAATTTCTTAGGCACTTAAATTTGGTGTTTGCTTTATCTCGTAAGTTTTGAAAAGTAGTATTTTCACTATTTGGTTCTAAATAATGTCTAATTTCCATTTAGACGTTTCCCATTTTTCTAGTTATCTCTGTCATTGATTGATTTTAACCTGTGTGTTTGTCTGACAGAGCATATGGTCTATACAGTGTAAACTGTTTGACCCCACTAGGGGCACTTCTTTTTGAGGGTCTTTGCCTTTGCTCCCTCTCATGGACAGCTCTTTCCCAGATACTTGTAGTGCTCACTGTTTGTTCAGGCCTTGATTCAAGTGTCACCGTCTCAGGGAGGCCTTCCCTGGCCACCTACCTAAAATTTCACACACCCTCTTCTGCTTCGTGTTGCTCTTCCCTTGGGCCCTCCCATTCTCTAATATTATCCAGCATGTTCCAGATGCATAGGGAACGAAGGAAAGCCATTAAGGGACATGTACCTGGAGACAGAAACAAAGAAAGCTGTACGAGAAGGGAAAGGTTGGACTTTGTCGGCAGTGAGATTGAAGAGTAGTATAGTGTGGGTAAGAATGACACTGCTGGGGAGTCAGGGTTGTGGTTGGAGTGTGGTTTTCTTTTAAGACTTAGGAGGTTGCCCGACCACGCGTGGCTCAGCGGTTGAGCATCGACCTAGGATCCAGGAGATCACAGTTCGATTCCCAGTCAGGGCACATGCTGGGGTTGTGGGCTCTATCCCCGGTTGGGGGTGTGCGGGAGGCAGCCGATCAATGACGACTTTCCCATCATTGATGTTTCTATCTCTCTCTCCCTTCCTCTCTCTGAAATTAATAAAGACATATTTAAAAAAAAAAAAAAAAAAAGACTTAGGAGGTTATTAGATGAGTTCTGAATAGGGTAGGGACAGGGTTTCTTAAATAGAATATGGGTGAAGGTTCTCGGAGGAACATGAATGAAGAAATTTTAAAGCTAGGGTTTTGAAGAGCTCTGGACATCACCCAACATGCTGGTGGGATTTGGGGTAAAGAAAAATACCTGAATTGAATGTCAGAGGGTCTCTCTATTGTCCAGAGCTGCTTGATGGAATTGCCCTTGCTTACTGGCCTCTGGCTTCTTCCTGTGATTAAATACGAGATTGACTGGTTTTCCCCTCTCTGTCCCTTTTGCATGGTTCCAGTCTGTGTTCAGGATTAAGGAGGCCACAGTGGAAGTGGGAAGGCCTGGGAAGGTTTGAGGAAAACAATAGAATCTCATTAAATAGTTGAGGAAGGGATTGGCTCGTTAGATGGAAAGTTCCTTATTGCGATCGGAGCAGCCCGTGTGGTTAGTCTTGAACTTCAGGATTCCATGGCCTTATGAGAAATAGTGCTTTTGTTTATTATGTCGTTTGCTTTTTTTTTTTTTCCCTACCCTCAAGTGAATATTAGAAAGTTATATCTGTTTCAGTTAAAATCTAATATTTCAGCTAAATGTCTTTACTCTTTACATTTTTGTTGCAAAGTGGCAAGTTTGTAACTTTTTGTCTTATTTGCCTGGATGGCTCCGCTCACGTTGCTTAGAGAACATTTTCTTCCACTTCTAAAGGAAGCAGTTTTTATGTGCCTGTCTTTCATTTGAGAGGCTAACAGCCGACATGACAGCACTTTCAGTGGAGCCTCTTTCCTTCTCCACAGTCATTTCCACTGCTCCTTTGGTGTTATTGTAGTGGGTGGTGTTTGTTTTTAAGGTTTTGAATGGACATGTAGTAAAATAACTACTTGGTTGTCAGATAGTCGAGAAATTGAGCTGTATACCCACCCTCTTCTAGGCTTATGGCATAATGTACAAAACAGCTTAATTTTTGAAGTGGGACTTAAATTTTAAAAATTTTTGCATACTGTAGAAATAAGGAGTAATGTATTAGTAGTGCTTTGTAGATTTCTTCTGCGTGCATTACGTATGTAAGGTTTCTCTGTGCTGATGTTCTATGAGGCTATTTTGTATGCATGTTGGTCTCTTTACAGAGAATTCCTCAGATGGTTGTGTGAGGCCTTCATGAAGACCAGATATTATCAGAAAGCTTGGAGAAAAACTGATGTCGTGTTGTTTATAGGACAACATAAGGAGAGGGAAATAGGGTTACTTGAATTCTTTTGGTTATAAATTTAAAATCTAACTGTTTAATCTAGAGTAGGCATTGGGGTAGATTTAATGTTTTATTAGAAAGTAGAACTATTTTTTTAAAGCTGCTTAATTTTGATAACAGATTTTAAGATCCTTGGGTTAAAGAGTCTTGTGATTTTACGGTTGGAAGGGATCTTAGATGTACTGTCCTGACACATGACAGACTGGTATTTTCCTCATTAAAAGAATCTGAAAAAAATCACCAAACGAAGCAATCTCGAACAGAGGTGGAGTGGTATCCATGAACATGGCAGGCACATAAGTCAGCTGTTTTGCTGCCATTGGTTTTCTGAGCACTAACACATTGGCCTGTGGTTTTAATTGTTGCATTTACTTTTTAATTTGGCTCTATCCACGTACCTTCTTCCTTTTGAATCTTTGTTGATAGTACGAGTACAGATTCTGAGTTAATAGTTCAGAAGTGCACCCTGGTGGTTTGGGAAACAGTGACTATGAGCTTGGTGGATGATTCACAGGTGTCCTGACATGCTTGACGTATCTGTGCTTCTCTTTTAGGAAACTGAAAATGGCCCTTCAGCTATGCTAGGTCTATAATGGGAAGCGTCACAGTTCAGCATTTCTGTTATGGATGCCTTTTTACATCTGCGACCTGGACAGTTTTGCTTTTTGTTTATTTCAACTTCAGTGAAGTGACTCAGCCACTTAAGAATGTGCCCATCAAGGGGTCTGGGCCCCAAGGACCATTCCCCAAAAAATTTTATCCCCGTTTCACTCGAGGCCCAAGTCGAGTATTAGATTTACAGTTCAAAGCAAACAAGGTTGACGATGTGGTGGATCCTCATATTGAAGATGCAGGAAAAGGCAACGTGAGATTCTCTTCTGAATTGGGTAAGTGTATTTCACTTTTGCTAGCAGCTTGTCAAAGTATTTAATCGTTGGAAATTTTAAGTTTTAATTATTCTTTAAATAATAATTATTCTTTAAATCCTTGTGTTATTGCTCAGGGGATTAGAAATGTGCCATTTTTTTCCACCAATTTATTTCGTTCATGAACTAGCTGAGGTCTTTATGATCTTTGCTGACTTAGAGGGGAGTTATATTCAGTATGTCCAACTCTGACTTCAGTATTTTATGAGGACTTGGGAGAAACTAAGAAGGTCCAGAATAGAAAATGAAAAATTAAGTGGCTGGAAAGACAGTGGAACCTATGGGGGAAGATTTTAATTGCTCTCATTATTTAATAAGGGAAAGAAATAGTTGAAACATGCTTGACTCTATTTAACATATTTTGAAAGGCACAGAGTTAATTATAATTAAAACATCATAAATACTGGGTTTAGAAATAAGCTGAGATTACTTATATCTAATTTGCTTATAAGAATTAAGTTGCTAGGATATATTTATTAAATAAATATAGGATTTTATAAAATCTGAGTATAAAATAGAAACTTTTTTAAAAATTCTGTTCAATTTGGTAGCAAGGATCTACTGTATATATTTCTGAATATTAAAATTCCAAAGTACAGGTTTTAGCAAACTTGATTTTAAGGGATAAGAGACATTTTGGTTTTCTTTAAAACTTAAAAAAAAGAAATTTGATCTTGTCATGGAAACATCAACTAATAAGTAAAATAATCAAATAATATAGTAAAAGATTTTGAGAGATTGAAAGGTCCACAGAATATAAAGGAAATGTTAAAACATTTTTAAATTGATCATAGTTTCAAGAAAATAAAATCGGTTTCTAGGACTTAACGATTTTCTAATACATGAAGTCAAAAGTATTTAAATTATATGAGGAAACAGAAGCTAATACTCAGTTTTCATAAAATACATCTTATAATCTTTCAGACAGCCATTAGGCACTTTAAGAGCAATAAGGGGAGAAGTTCTAGGAGTGTGTTTTTTACTCATGGTTATTTTGGTAAGACCTGTGTAAGAAGTAACATTCGGTTTACCATTTCGAATGGACATTGTATTCACCTGTGAAAGAAGCAGTGAGAGAACGGTAGCTGTTTGAAGTGACAGACTCACGCTGCCTAACTGAACAGCCAAATCCTCAAAAACACCCTAAAGAGTACACAAAAAAACTGTTGCAGCTAATAAATAAATTCACATTCGCAGGGTACAGGATCAGCCTGCAAAAACCAGCTGTATTTTTGTACATTAGTAATGAACAGTCTGAAAATAAAGAGAACAATTCCATTTACAATACTACCCAAAGGAATAAAATATTTAGGAATAAATTTAACCAAGGAGGTGCAAGATTTGTAGGCTGAAAACTACAAATCAGTGCTGAAAAAATAAAGTAGATCTAAATACATGGACAGACATCATGGACTGGAATGCTAAGTACTGTCAAGGTGTCAGCCTACCCAAAAGCCAATCCACAGATTGCATGCAAACTTCACTGAAATCCCCACAGCCTTTGTTGAAAATATGGAGAAGCTGATTCTAAAATTAATATGGAATTTGTCAATGTAAGAAATGTCCAGATCTATAGAGAATTTTTATAAGAATTTGAGCCAAAAAGAGGAAAGACCTGGGAGCAAGATCTCAACTGACTGACATAAATGCTTTGAGGATAACAGTTTGTGGTTTCTTTTATGCACTTGAAATTGAGGAGGGAATGTAAGAAAGATTGGAACTCAGGGATGGGATTCCAGGGCAGTTAAGATCATGTGCTTTCTTGAGGGCTTTCTTGACTGATGCTGATTAAGCCTGGAACCAATGACTTTTTATAGGAAAGTTTATTGAGTCTTTTTTAGGGGAGGGGTTCATATAAAAACTTGCCTGTAAGTGGCACCTGTTGAGGTCTATATGGGTTCTACAATTACTGCTTTTATGGAAAAAAATCATTTCCATTTTCTTGGTCAGAGGTAAGTTTTTCCCTTGAAAACAGATTATGGCTAGTGAGGCTTTGGCCGAGTAGCTCAGTTGGTTAGAGTGGTTCTAAAATCAATCAATAAAACATTTTTCTAAAAAAAGATTATGGCCAGTGAGAAGGTGTCATTTATGGTTCAGGTACACTTTTTCAGCCAAACTAATAAAAATGTGGCTTCAACCTCAATTTACTTTTTTGAAAATGGATTGAGAAGCACAGCTATTTTCTGGTTATAAGAGTATAAAGTCAGTATTAAGATCGTAACATAACAGTAATTGTAATAATCCTTTGCAGATTTCATACACTGACTGAAACTTTTTTGCAGGTATGATTTTTAATGAACATGACCAGGAGCTGAGGGACCTGGGGTATCAGAAGCATGCCTTCAATATGCTGATTAGCAACCGCTTGGGCTACCACAGAGATGTGCCAGATACAAGGAACGCGGAGTACGTCATTACCGGGTTCTGCTCACCATTCTAGCACCAGGGTGCTTTCGGTGCCAGTGTAGTAAGGCTTAGGATGGCATTAATGCTTTGCAGTCAGGCTTTGTTTTTCTGGAGACTAGGAAACGTGACAGATTTCCCCCGACATGCCTGAATCCACAGGATTTGAGACTGTAGGACAAAGTTCTAGGGCCTGCTGTCTCTCTTTTAAAAGTTAAAATCTTGGGGAAAAGGAGAGAGGTGCTGACTGCATGCAATTATATAACCTGAGATAAGTTTTTTAAAAACGTTAATTGTATTCCTTTTTGCCATGAATCCAATAAATCAGTGAAGAATTTTACTTATCTCACATTCCCTTTTTCATTATTTTGTTTCGTCAAAGGCTTTTCATTCATATGGTTGGTCAGTCATTCCACGTACAGACCAGACACTGTATTAGGCCTCAAAATAAACAGAATAAGACATTTCTGGGTAAACAGGCCTTCAGATCTAGCAGGGGAGGTGTATAAGGAAACAAGTAATTATAGGAGCATGAGCGTGAGGACTGTGACGGGAACTGGTGGAATGGGGCCCCCAAACCCGAGGTCAGGGAAGACGCCACAGCAGTGATGCTGGGCAGTGATGCCGGGGAGTAGGGAACAGACTTGGCATAAAACTATGCAGTTTGTCAAAGGGACTGAAGTGGTTCACTTTGGCTGTAGTGGACGAGTGGCAAGAGGGTGAGGTCAGCTGGGCACAGACAACGGAAGGCTCTGAATGCCATGCGGAAGCACAGAGGATTCCAGCTTTGATTTCTTGTCACCGTATAAAGCCACCTAACATTTAGTTGCGTATATGGAAGCTCTCCCATTATCTTGATATATATCATAGTTTACTGACATCTTTTTCTGTTATTGGGCAAAAAAATAAAATTTTCAAATACGAGTTTTATATTTCTGTTATTTCCTTTGGAGACCTCATTGAGGAGAAGCTGCACATCAGCTTCCAAGTGCTACATTAAAAACTTGCAGTGATTTTATGTCACCTATGTACCAAAAAAGAAAACACATCAAGTTTTTAAAATGTTGACCTAAAAATAAGCAGAGTAGCCCATATCTGAGGGAGAAGTTATTAAATTAAAACTCTTGAGTAAGAAACCACAGTTTTCTTAAATGTTTTTTGAAAAATTGTTATAATGTAAGGAAGAAGCTGAGTAAGGTCACAGTTAGTGTTTGGTGAATAATAAAACATATGAGCCTTTGAAATGTTGGAATTTCTCTCATTTGTCTTTGCAGATGTAAAGACAAGACATACCCGACGGATCTGCCAGTCGCTAGTGTTGTTATTTGTTTCTACAATGAAGCCTTGTCTGCTTTGCTGAGGACTGTGCACAGCGTCCTGGACCGCACGCCTGCCCAGCTTCTCCACGAAATCATCCTCGTAGATGATGACAGTGACTTGGGTAAGGAATGTGGGACTCAGGCTGTAGTCCCTACGGTACTGGTATCAGCAGAGCTGGCCCTTCCATACGCAGAGGACGGGAGGACCCTGTGCATGCAGTTGCAGTGGCGCCAACCCCAATAAATGCCTGTCCACTGACTATGGGATAATTTTGAAGAAACTGCATTACCTTTGTACCCAGACTGGACCCTTGAAATTTTTCCCTTGGCTTACCTTTTTTAAAAAGCTAACGTCATACTCAGTGAGGAAAAGCTAAAAGCATTGTGGACTCTCTATTTTCAGATAATTTGAAAGGAGAACTAGATGAATTTGCCCAAAAACACCTCCCTGGAAAAATTAAAGTAATAAGAAATACAAAGCGTGAGGGATTAATTCGAGGAAGAATGATTGGAGCAGCCCACGCAACAGGTATAGCTTCCCATTGGGCGCTGTGGTGGGTGCTGAGTGGTGAGTGCTGTCCCTGGTTCTGCAGAGGTCTGAGAAGTGCATCCTGTGTGGGCACTGCCACGGGAGAGAGGAGGCTCGTTCAGTTTGGGAAAGGCCTTTTCAGAACTCCAGCCCTGCTGTCCCAGAGCACATGCTCCAGGGAGGCGAACTCCAGAGTACTCACAGGCCTATTTTCTTAAAAGCCCTTACTGTTAATTACTGCCCCACAAATATAAGCAGAAGGGGTCAAACCAAACTGCAACGAAGTTTTGTAATTTTTTAAAAACAAAATTTAAAATATATGTGCCCAAACTGTGATTAAAATTGACTTACAGCCCTGGCCAGCTGCTCAGTGGTTAGAGTGTCAGCCTGAGGGCTGAAGGGTCCCGGGTTCAATTCTCGCCCTGGTCGGGGCTTGTTGGGGAGGCAGCCAGCCGATGTGTCTCTCACATCGATGTCTCCCCCCACTCTCTCTGAAAAGCAATGGGAAAATATCCTTGGGTGAGAAAAAACAAAAAAAATCACTACAGTTATAAAGGCATTTTCTTTAAAATCTCCTCTTAATCCTCCTGCGTCAGTCAAGGAGAAGCCCCCGTTGGTGCCGCTGCAATTTTAAAGCCTTTGCAGCTCACACTTATCTTGACCCTTTTAAGAGAAATAACAGGCTTCAAGTTCAGAATCTTCTGTTGAAAATGTATCTGGTTCGTCTTCAGTTACTTTATATCGAGCCCATTGCGTCCCTTCCTAGGGGGCCTCCGTGTAAGGTTGGTGATCTGGTTGTCATTTATGGTGTTGGAAAAATTCCTTTTAAAATTAATTTAAGTTAAATACATTTGTTTAAAAATATGAGGTATATATTACTGCATGTAGTGCATGGATATGGCCCCCCAAAATCATGAAGGTAATTAATTTTTTTAGGTACGGCTGCCAGTTCAGTTGGATGATGTACTTACATGGCCTGAAATGTAACTGCTACCCTCCCAGCCCAAAGAATTAAACCATTAGTTTATCCCAGGTCAGAAACAGGGAGCTCTTTCATCCAGGAATTCTGCCTGGAGGGTGCAGTTTAGGACTGAGGGGCACATACAAATCATGTGCACAGTTTGTGAGAAAATTGAGACAGTTTCTCTCCTCTTGATAAATAGGTAGGAAGGAAGGTTTCTTTGATAATTTCATTGATAACTTCATGGTTATTCTGAGCAGTTAAGAAACAATCTGATCGTCAGATAGGATTATTGTTCTAACGATTGGTCCATGAAATGTAGATTTCACATGAATTACTTAAAGCACCAGTATCATCCCATTTCAGTTGAAAGAAATACCACAGGTAAGAACATTCTCCATGACAACAGTGAGCTGGTTGTGTCATTTGGTGTCTGAACAACCTTGAGGATGCAGGGAGCATGCATACAGCTCGCCAGGTGCCACTGGACAGAAGGGCAGAGTGTTCACCTGTCCACCAGTCAGTGCAGGTGAAGTCAGTTAAATCAGGCTCCTTTGAGAAAATGTATTCATAGTTTCTCTTAATTCTAAAAATGTTGCTTTTCAGTTTAACTGAATGAAGTAAGATTACACATGGTCACATTGAACCTGACACTGACTTCTCCAAAACTGGCTTATTTCTGACAGATCCTAAAGTATATTTGAACAAGGACCAGCAGGTCATAATGAAAAAAACTAAATGGCTATTGGCATCTGAGAGAGATAAACTCTCAGTCATAATGTGCTGTGGCAGTACAGTGTTTCGAATGCACACTCTTTCCGTTCCCCACAAATACTCTACCATTTTCTTTCTCGTTGCTGTAAGTCAACCCGACTCAGTCAGTCAGTCTTCTAGTAAAATTAAATAGACGAAAACCATAAGCCTTGAATTCAGTCTGTGCAACTGCAGGCCACATGGAGAGCCGTTATTTCTCCTTTTCTGTTAATGGCTTCAGTTCACTGTAGGTTTAAACGAGAAAGGAGGGAAGGAGAGTCTAAAAATGAGGCCCCAGCGGACAGAGCGGGGGTACAGGAGGGTGGGGCAGCGAGCGGTGCCGGCAGCACTGAGGCCTCGATGCGTTTGTGAAGCCCTGTCGTCTGCCTCCTCAGGAGAAGTCCTGGTGTTCCTGGACAGCCACTGCGAAGTGAATGTGATGTGGCTGCAGCCCTTGCTGGCTGCCATCCGCGATGACCGGCGGACAGTCGTGTGCCCGGTGATCGACATCATCAGTGCAGACACGCTGGCCTATAGCTCTTCCCCTGTGGTGCGTGGAGGGTTCAACTGGGGGCTGCACTTCAAATGGGATCTTGTTCCCCTTTCTGAGCTCGGAGGACCAGAGGGAGCTACAGCACCAATAAAGTAAGATTCTCCTGTGTCTCAGAAAACCCCCACCAGTACTTCAAAGGAGAAAGAGCATTTTAAAGATAATTCCTTCTCTGCAAGCAGCAGAAGCGTTGGTCTAATTTGTCCATTAAAACGCCGAGTGCTTACTGAATTTTATGCACTCTGCAAGTCCTGAGGACAGATTTATGAAGACGTTGTCTGTGCTCTCAAGGATGTGTAACTTAGTGAGGAAGGCAGACGGAATCAGCAGTATCCTGCGGTACGCTGCGTGGGATACCTTAGGGGGTGCCCTGTGCTGCGCTGTTTTACTACCTTCAGTTCTTCGCTAGTGTGAATGGTGCTGTGAAGGTCATTTGATACGTAAGTTCATCTACAACCAGGATTTTCAGGATGGATTCCTAGGGTATGAACTGTTTTCATGTCTCATCCATATTATCCAATATTATAAATCTGCTATTAAATGTTACTTCTCATGTCAGTCTCAACAGTTGCCTGTATTTCTACTTTTTAAAGTCCTTGGACCTTCTCTTCTTAAACATTGTAAAAAATAGCAGATGTGAAAAGCACACATATGTGCACAAATTTAATGGTTATAATGTGGACACCTGTGCAACTACTACTCAGGTCCACACACAGCACCAGATGCCCATCTCCCCTTCTGGCGACAGCCCTGCCCTCTCCCTGGAGTGTCAGTGCCCTGACCTGGTGATTAGTTCCTTGTTTTCCCGTGGCGTCCACCACCGTGTATGCATCTCTAGCAATATAGTTTAGTTCTGCCTGATGATGGGCTTCATGAAAATGAATCCATGGGACTCAGAATTTTGTTGTCTTTTACTCGGCAGTGCCTTAAAGATGCACCTGCTGTGTAGTGTGTAGCTACAGTTGACTTGTCGTCATTGCTGTATAATACTCTGTTTCATTAAAATATAACTTATCCAGTTTGCTTTTGGTGGGGCAGTTGGTTTTGGGGTTTTTTTATGTTGGAAACAGTGCTGGTACCAACATTCTTATTGGCTTCTGGTTTATGGGTGTGAAACTGCCGGTGGTAGGGTGAGCCCCTCACCTTCCCAGCACCTCAGGCCACTGGGGTGCTGTTGGCTCCTCCGCTGGCCTTCGTACTTGATATCCCCGCAGGCGACACTGCTGACGCGTGCATCCGTGTGCGTGTGTGTGTAAATACACATCTTACCCTGCAAGACATGCAGCCGCGACTGACGGGTTTACCCCATTTCTCCTTTTATGTTTCTATTTCAGCATCTGCACATTTTCATTCAGGGTTATTTTCATTCTGTCTGAAGGACACCTTTAAGTATTTCTTTTGGTTGGACCTTCTGGTGGTTATTACTCCTTTTTCCAAAAATGTCTTTGTTTCGCCATTATTTTGCGGAGTAATTTTACTTGATATCTAGTTCTAGTTTGGCAGATACATTCTTTCAGCACTTTGAAAGTTTCATTCTAGAACCTTCTGGCTTCCAGTTTCTGGTGAGAAGTCAGCAGCAGTCTTGGTAATCTCTCTCATTTCCTTTCTGTCTGTCAGAAGTGTTTTTCAGATATGCATAAATTCGGTTTCTTTTTAGATAGTGTCGAATCTGCTAAACTCTAGTTTTATCCTTTATGCTTGAATATTACTGGACAGTTTTCAAATCTCTGCCTGATAACTATTAGTTGACACCACTGCACATCTGGCTTATTTCTTTTGTTTAGTCCCAGACACTGTATATGAAATACTGTAAAACTACATTCATACCTGCGGTGATGTTTTCTTCTTGCATAGAGAAGTTTGCTTCCCTGGGGCAGGCAGCTTGAGACGTTAGCATCCGTGATCACCTAATCCAGTTCTGGAAGTGAGGCCTGGAAGCTGGGCTCGGCTCCCTGGGAGGGCCAGTCCACGCCTCTCTCACTAACCCAGGGTTTCTCAGTCTTGGCAGGATTGACATTTTTAGCCTGATAAATTCTTTATTTAGCTGCATTCAACCCATCAGACGCCAGTAGCACCCGCCCTCCCCCTAGTTGTGACAGCTAAAAAGGTCTCCAGAATTTAAATGTTTTCTTAGGGACAGAATCAGCCTACTTGAGAGCCACTGGTCCAACACGTTTGAGTCCAATTCAGAGTGGCAGGTTTGTCTGGTCTCACCTTGGCAGGTCCTGGAGTCCAGTTTTTATCCCAGAGGCTTTGAGACTGCCAAAAAAATTTGTTTCAGGTGGATTTCTGTCAACAATGGTTATAATAAAATAAAAATTTTTGGTGCTTAGAAAGATAGCCTTCATTTACCAGTTGTCTAGTTTATCACTAATGATCTAGAAAATTCATTTACGTGGCCCAGCTCATTCCCTATATTAGATATAAAATATTTCATAATAGTTAATCTAATTTGTACTAGTAATGTTCCAAAGCTACACTGAATTTTTAAAAATATATTTTTATTGATTTCAGAGAGGAAAGAGGAGGAGAGAGAGAAACATCCATGATGAGGGTCATTGATCGGCTGCCTCCTGCGCGCCCCCCGCTGGGGATGGAGCCCGCAGCCCGGGCCTGCGCCCCGACCGGGAATCAAACTGACCTCCTGGTCCTCGGCCGGTGCTCAGCCACGAAGGCACGCTGGCTGGGCCGCACTGACGTTTTTAAAACAGAAAGAGTAGCTAATCGACTGTGTAGAGTCCGTACAATAACTGTCTTCCTTTCCTAGGTCCCCTACGATGGCCGGGGGGCTGTTTGCCATGGACAGAAACTACTTCCGCGAGCTGGGGCAGTACGACAGCGGCATGGACATCTGGGGCGGGGAGAACTTGGAGATATCATTCCGGGTGACTTGGCTTCGCGTGCTTGGTGGTCTGTGTGTAATGGAGTGTAGTCCTCGCCCGTGAGCCTGTGTTTCCTGTAAATTCTCTTTATCTTAAGAAAGTATCCTTAATGATTGCTGCTTTGCCGTAATCTGTGATGGGGAATGGCCAATTAAAATGTGGAAAGCATGTAAGAAGGCTTATGTTTCTAAGAATTCAGAGTGAAATGGGTATAAGACCAGAGGACTTAATGAGCATTTGATGTGGTTTGTTCTTGCTGTATGTAGCTGGGGTCAGAGTTCCCCGGCTGTCCAAGACCATCCAGTCTGCAGTTTCCCTAGAGAAATTATTACTAGCTCCCCATTTCACTTTTAGAAGTAGCCCAGTTTACATAACACAGTATTCATCACCCCACGTGTAGCTTACTGAATCCTTCATATATCTAGTACCTCCAGCCTGAGGAAGGGGAGGGGGAGGGAAGGACTCAGCGGTCCGTGTCTCCCCCCCCCCCCC